GCTGCCAGTGCTGGGGGCTGTCTCGCCTCTGCCTGGCCCTGCGAAGGATGCTCCGGCCGTGGTCCCACACCGTGGCTGAAGGGCTGTGCCCCTGCAGCCCAAACGCAGCCGCCGAGACGGGCTCAGCCGGCCGATGGGATTTAGCCAGGGCTTCTTTGTGCTTGGATATCCCTGTGTGAGCCCAGCCTCGCTGCTGGGAGCGTGACCCCAGCCCATCTGCAAGCCCTGCTCCTTGTCGTGGTCCAGCGAGGCACCTGCTTTCCTGCTTTTCTGGCCAAACCAGGCTCCAGCAGGCAGGTGAGGAATGTGGGTGTGATGCTACAGGGCAGCCTTCCCCTGCAGCTCGTCCTACCCTGGCCCAGAGTGCAGCAGGAGGAGGAATGCAGGGCTGGAGAGGTGCAGCTCTGCAGGGACATCCATCTCCTGTGCTGCTCAAAGCCACTCGACATGGGCAGCAAGGGGACAGGGTCATATTGAGGGAGGTTTCACAGAGGCCAGAGGTGTTTTCCCTAAGTATGTGTTGGCTTGTGCTCAGGTCAGAGCCTTCCCAGCCCCGGAGAGGTGCTTGCTGCTGAGGAGCTGCTTACTTTGGCCTCACCCGAGAGGCCTCGGCCCGGGGCAAAGCAGCCTGAACAGTGCCCTGTTTGTGCTGTGGGAAGGGCCATTCACGGCCCTGCTGTCACAGCAGCAACAGGCAAAGAGCTGCCGGTTGTTTTCACCCCAGAGCCTGCCACAGGAGACCCTCCAAACAGATCCCACCTCATCCAGATACGTGCAGAGCAGCAGGTAACACCCACACTGCCGCTGTGCCTTTGGGGGGCCTCAGGCTGGGCCACACCACAGTGACATCTGAAAGTGCGACCTCCAGCAGTATCACTGCACTTGCTCGGCAGGGCAGAGCAGCTGCTCGCCCCGTGCAGGTACCCCATGCCAAGCAGGCTCCAAGCCAGGATGGAGCTGGACTCAGTTTTAGCTGCCCTCCCTGAAAGCCCCCAGCCCCACGGTTTGCACCGAGCCATGCACGTGCCCCCATGTGCACCAGGCAGCGCCCAGGGGGACAGGGAGTGCTGCCAGCTCCTGTGACTGCTGGCACTGCCTTGGTGCCCAGGGCCTGGGAACTTGAGATTTTGAACGAAATGTCCTTCTCCCAAAGTCATGGAGTAAAGCTGGGGTGTGCAAGAGGAAAAAGCTGGGAGGGCAGAGTGCCATTCCGCTGCTCTGAGAAGTGCCAGGACCACGGCAGAAGAGGAATGCCAGGGGCAGGGCAATGCTGTGCTCTCGCTGTGGCTGGTGACAGCAGGTTTGCTGTCACCTGGCCCTGGGCTCTGGTGCACATCTGTGATGCTTTGGGGACCAAGAAGAGCAGGCTGGGCTGGAGCATGAGGCTGCTTCCACGTGCTCAGGTCCACGCAGAAACCCCAGTGGAGAGGACAGAGGTGAGGGGTACTTGGTGTGCCCTTTCAAACTCCTCTGCTGTGGGCAGCAAGTGCCCTTTGGAGGCTGGGGCTGGGCAGTGACTCACAGAGCTCCTGAGCCACGCTGGGTGATGCCAGCAAAGCAAAACCCCTGTGGGAGATGCCAGCACAGCCCCCCACGGGGTGCCCACCCGGACCAGGGGATCTCTCTGGTGCTGGCCCCGCAGGGCTCGGCACCCACCTGCTGAGAGCCCAGCAGGGACTGGGACGGAGCAGAGGCCACTGCTGTGCTGGCTCGGTGTCCCTGGGAGGGGACAGCTGTGAGTGCCACGTGTGATGGCACCGCCCACGGTGCGAAGGGCAGCTCAGCCCTGCCCCGGTGGCCCAGACTTTGCCGCAGGGCAGTGACACTCCTGCCTGCACAGCTGTCCCCACGGGATCCGCCACGTCACCGTCACCCTGCTGCTCGGAGGGGACCTTGTGCCATGGAGTCATCCCTCAGCCCTCCTGGGAGCTCTCCTGGCAGGGATAAGCAATAGCTAAGGTCAAGCATACAGAAGTCCTGTGTGAGCATGGAAATTCCTGCTCTGGGTTCCGGGCCACAAGATCTCCCTCACCTCACAGTTAGGTGTCCCCAAGTGCCACTGGGCTCTGGAGAGGCTGGAGGATGGCGAGTGCTTGGAGCGCCTCTGCTGAAAGGCAGGGATGAGGAGCTGGGTGCCGTGGCACTACAAACTGGGTATGCTGAGGCTTGGCTCTGCCCTGCCCTTAGCAAAGGGACCCCACTGAGGATTTGTTTAGTGTCTGTCGCCTCCGAATGTTGGAATACACAGCTAAAGTTGTTTGGAAGGAAGCTGGAAAGGTGACAGGCTGGGGCTGAAATAGCTGGGATTGATCTGCACCTCCACTGGAGATATTTGAGTATCAAAAGCACGGCAGGCACTGCATCCCCACCACTGCTGTGTCCGATTCCCCTCGGGACGGGACCATTGCTTGTGCTGCAGAAATCAGCTTCAAAATAACTCAGCAGCACACTCTGCTAAGGGTCCCTGTCCCTGCAGGGATGTCACAGCACAGCTATGGCTCCTTGGGCCTGGTGTCTCTGCCAAGCCATCCCCCTTTGACCCTGGAGCCCAACCCTCCCTCCACAGGAATGTTTTTCAGGGAGAGGGAAGGTTGGCGCAGCTCCAGCTGCTGCATTTTTCCATGTCCAGAGATCATCTCTTGCCTTAAAAGGCCCCAGGACACAGGCTGTGCCTGCTCTCCTGCAATCACCTCTTTCAGGATTGTTTGGATTCCCAGCACAGACTGGGATGATGCCAGCCCATGGGGGGATACTGGGGCAGACAGGGCTGGTTGTCTTGGGAGCCCTGCAGGACCTGGACATGGAGGAGTGCGGTGCTGCTCCAGCCCTCCCAGGCATCTCCCTTCCCATTCCCCCTTCCCATCTCAGATTTCCTGAGCTGAGATGAGCAGTCCCAAGGCTGCTGGAGAAACCCTGCTCAGAGCTGGGTAGAGCAGTCCAGGAAACTGGGATTGGGTCTGAGAAGCCCACACTGGACTCAGGGCACTGTTTGGGATTTGCTGAGCCTCTTGCAGGGGAAGGCTGAGGATGTGGGGCAGGAGAGATGTGATGTGGAAAGACACATGCCTGCAGGGATGTGACCTCTGGAACACACAGCACGTGGGGGGGGCTGTGAAACTGAGCTCCCTCGCTCCTGGCATTCCCTGACGGTCAGCATGGATCCCTCTGGCAAAACACCCTCCCTGCCACCCACTCTGGGCTCTGGAAAAAGGGACAAGGCAGCCCAGCCAGGGCCTGGCCAGCTCCAGGGCAGTGGGTCAGCGGGGCCTGTTTTGTAAGAGAACTCCACCAGGGTCAAGCTGTCACCTAGTAAAGAGATGGATTTTTTAAATCTGCTTTAAAAAAAGAAAACCCCGAGGAAACTACAGCCAAAAATGACATCAGCAATGTGCTCTGCCAGTTTCAGGGTGCTCCAGGGTGGGATGAGTCTGAACTTCAGCTGCTCAGGTAAGCTCAGCTCAACCTTCAGCTGCACGTGGCACGTCTCTAACCCAGAGATGCAGGGAGGAAACCAGACCTGGGGGATAAAATAATAAAACCTGCCTGTGGGACCTGAGCACGGGTTGTCACAGAAGCTGGAAGGTGAAGACTGAGGTTTGGGAACAAGGAGGGTCTTAGGGTCCACACAGGTGTCTGTCTCCTGGCAGAGCAGGGCTGGGGCTCCAAAACAAAGCTTTGCCAAGTGGTTTCTCACTGTTCCCCCTTATTTAGCCCTAAATGTGTGCAGTAGGGATGGGATGTGAACTGCTGACCCAGCTCTTCCACAGCTGGTGGAAAGGCATCAAGAGCTGCAGGTGGCAAAACACTGAAAAACCCAACTTTTACCCCAGAGGGTGAAAGCAATGTCCCCTCAAGGGGGTGGTGGCTGGAGCCACAGGGCAGCACCCAGCACCAACCTGCCCCACCCTGAGCCCCCTACAGCAGCCACTTCCCTCCCCTTGCAGCTCTGGGACACAGAGTGTGAGGGGACCCAGAGCTTCTAACAAAGTTTTTAGTTTCTGCCATAGAGATATTTTTGTTCTCTAAATGGGGAGGGGGATACTGGATGAAACCGTGTATGCAAATGCTGTTGGTTTTTCTAGGTAGTGTAGCTGGGGAAAAAGTTGGTGTGCACAGGTCAAAAAGAGTTTGCAACTCCCTGTCTTGGCCTGGTGTGCTGCGAGAGGATCCTCTGTGCTCACCTTCCCATTTGCCTAGTAAAGTAAAGAAGCCTTTGTTCAAACCCAGCATGGCCTGAGTCTGGAAACAGCAATTTCCCAGGAGATATTCACAGCAGGAGCCCCCCCTGCCCTCTTCCCTTGAGCATCTCCCTGGAGCTCCAAGCAGGAGCCCACATGAGAGCAGCAATGTTGGGGCTGAGTGGTGTTTTTCACACATGCAGTGCCTCTCCCTGCAACACCAGCTCGTCCTGGGAGCGGGTGCCTGTTCCTGGAGCATGTGAGTCCCTGAGGAGTGACACTCCTGCTGCCAGCCACCCCCTGGCCCCTCTCCCTGTTTTTAACCTCTCCCTGCCAGGGAGGGGATGGAGCCAGGTGGGACTATTTTAGTGGTTGGCAGAAAGAGGAAGGGAAGCTGCTGAGCCTGTGGCGTTCCCTGTGTGTGCCTGGCCAGCCCTGTGGGTCCCTCATCCCCACCTCTGGGATCTGGGAGAGGTGCTGATGCTCCTGTGTGGGCTGTGCCACCCTCCCATGCTCCTGGCAACGCTGCCCAGGGCTCTGACCACCCTGCAGCCCCAGGGATGTGTGGGGGTGGGTCTCAGGTTTGGGTTTGTGCTGAGGAAGCCATGGATGCTCTGGCCTGCTGGACCAGGTGCCTGTGGCATCCCCCACTGTGGCCTTGATTTGCACAGGGCCATAGAGGAAACCAGCCCTGGCCTGCACCAGGTGCTTTCCCAGCCCTTCCCCTCAGCCCTTCCCCTCACCCCAGGGGGAGAGGGTGAAGAAGGAAGGGGAAGCTTCAGCCCACGCTGTCTTCCCAGAAATAAAGGCTAAAAAAACCTTTATGCTTGCATTGCAAAGTTTTGCCGTTTCTCAGTTTCTGCAGTGAAATTTGATTTTTCTTTTCCCAGGGGGGCTCAAACAGCAGCTGCTGGGAAGCACCAAGGGCACCAAGGCACCCACCATGGTTCACCCCATGTGGTCCCACATTTCCATCACGAGAGCAAGAGTTAATTTGGATTGACAGTCTCAGCTGTCAGCAGCCTTTGGACTCTCCCCATTCCATCAGCCCCATCAGATGGCAAGAGAAGCTCCCCAGTGGCTCTGCATGGCTGTCACAGCATTGCCAAGGTGCTGCTGAAGTTGTGCCTGGAACACTTGCCAGCCAGGCTAGGGTAAGGTGGATCCCTTCCCCAGGAAGCCATTTTTGCATCTGCTCCCAAGCACTGGCGTAGGAAAGAGTGTTTGCTGTCCTGCAGAGGCTCTGTGGTTCTGCAGCAGCGCCAGGAGATGCTGCAGCTTCCTGCTGTACCTGCCTGGGCACCCCTGCTGGAGCAATCGTTTTATCTCCCATTTCTAGGCAAAGTTAAAATTTAGCCACGTGAAATGAGAAACCGAAATACAAATGCTCTCAAAAGTGACATTCCCACCTTAATCCATTTTCTTCATCTTACACTGCAGGTTTTGAACCTCTAAAGAGGGGGCTCAGAGCCAGGTGGAGACCTGTGTCCTGCAGGGGCTGTCCCAGGTGCTGCTAGCTCCATCCTGCTTTTGGGAGCCGTGGCACTGTGCCACCCGTGCCGGGATTCAGGGCTCTTTGGGGCAGGGCTGGCTGGAGATCTGAGCTCTCCTGCTGCAGGTCACGCAGCCCCAGCCGGGTGTCACCGTGTCCCTGCGTGCCAAGAGCTGCCCGGCGCCAGCCCACCTTCATTAACCCTAAGGGCGTTCATTACCCCGCAGCATTCCCGGTGACCCCGCCCGCGGGAATGTCCCGTTGGATCAGCCGGTCACTGTGACCGTGGGAATCTCTCGGCATCTCCCGGGATTTGAAGGAGTGTGGGAGTGGGAATCAGAGCCCGTGCGGGGGGATGTCCACATTTGGGACCACAGAAGCACAGTCTGTGTGTCACAGGCGGTTTGCTGAGTGATGAAAGTGCAATTACCTGCTCAGCTGGAGGTGGAGTTGCTCCCGTTTGATTTTCCAAGGAAAATGTTTCCAACCTTTATTTTTTGCGCAGCTTTCCTCTCGGCGCGAATCGCAGAAGATATAAAAGAAAATGAGGGGTTTTTTACAAGTTTTGTGCTGGTTTGCTGGATTCTCTCCTGCAAGTGGTTAACAGTTCATCTGAAGTCAGAGGAAGGTCTCTGAAGCAATCTTGCAATTTACAGCTTTTCCTTTCCCAAGTAAGAAACGGTCAGGAAATTAAACAGGAAATTGTGTCTGGAAGGAACAAAAGTTGTGTTGTCAGAACCTGCTTATGAAAGATTTACTTTATTTTAACCAGTAAGGAGCCAAGATCAATAGTCAGAAGAGGAAGGAGTTTGTGTGAATTAAATCACACGTGGGGGGAAAAAAAAAAAAAAAAAAGAAAAAAGGCAACACTTGGGAAAACAAGAAGCCTTTGTAAAGAGCAGATAGGGATGAATGGGAGAGAAGGGTTTGCCACTGCAGCAAACAAATGCTGCAAAGTGCTGAAAGGCAAAGGCCTAGGGTGTACCCCAGGATCAGGTGTCTCTTAAAAAGTCAGCCCTAAAATGCCCAAATCTTTGGGGGATACTCTACAGCCAAGCCTGTTGGAGAGTTGGAGTGCAATGGACAAGCATTGCCCCATTGCTGTGCAGGTCAAACAGCACCACCTTCTCAGGAAGTGTCCCTTGGGTGGCCTCCTCCAGCTTTCCCAACCTGGGGTGCCAAGCACCAGGTTTTATTCCTGCCCAGGGGATGCAGGGTGAGCTCAAATCCAGCCCCAGGGCTTCACAGGAACTGCACCAGCTCACTTCGTCCTGGGGTTTTCCATGAGAAATTTGGCCAAGAGGAAGCAAAAAAAAAACCCTGCTACAAAGGTGCAGTGCTTTTTGAGAATCCCACACAAATATTTGCTCCCTGGTAACCCCACAGGCCACTGGGTTTTGGGTTAATTAGGGGCTCTAGTTGGGAGATTGGGTAATCTGTCATTTTTTGACTCATATTGCTCATCAGTGGTTGAGAAACAAGCTTAGCAAGCGCTGGTATGTGGGTACGGCAGAGGAGGGGACATCAAGCCCCTGTCTGGCTGACCCAGGCACTTTTGGGGGATGCTCGTACCTGGTGGGCACTGACTCAATGGGGCTTTTTCTCCAGGATCCCAGCACTGCGAAGCTTCCCCTGAAATGATGTGTCCTCTGTGACAGCTCTTGGGCCATGTTTGGTCTAAGCTGTGCTTACTCCCTGGCTGGGAACGGGATCACACTTCTCCAGTCCCCGGGGAGAGGAACTGCTGCAGGAATTCCCGTCCCAGGAGGGAGCACAATGGAGGCTGACAACGGAGACAGGCCCAGCCATACCCCGTGGCAGCGCTGAGGCCAAGAGCTGTGGCTGGCAGTACTCAGCAATGGGGTAATGAATGTTTACCATCTCTTTCATCAGCCAGATCAGCAGTTGTTTGAATTTCTAGTGCTTCATGGATGGATGCTCTGATCCTGGCTGTCCCCAACAAGTACTTTGTGGCTAAGGCTGTGTTGTTGGGATGGACAAATGCCCCGAGGGGGAGAGGCGCTCCCGGACCTGGTTAAAATGGCAGGGCTGCTTCCACTCCTCTGGGAATTTCAGAAGGGCAGAGTGTCAGGTGTTAACGAAGGCACCAAGTTACAGGGTGAAAAATCAGGGAAAGAACACACACAAAGACTTTCCAGGGGTTTCCACTGCTGTCTGACTCCAGGCGCGTCATCCCACAGCTCTGTAAGGGCCGGGTCATGAGGCTGGAGCTGCTCTGGGGAAAACAGCAGCTGTGACCTGCTGCTGCTGGGATTGCAGTGATTCACACCCTCCCCGCGGGTTGAGCTGTCCTTTCTCGTTCAGAGTCCTGACATGTGCACGTTTCCAGCGTGGCACACTCCTGACTCACCCACCTGCACCTCGCAGGGCTCCCTGGGCCGGGCCGTGCTGCTCCACCCCGCTCCCCGGCACGGAGAACCCCGATCCTCAGGGTGTTTTTGGCAGGAGTGAGGCGCAAGGAAGGTTTTCCTGCCTCAGTGTGAAGACCAAAGCTGCAGATGGGCGGACTTGGGCCGGGTTATGCACAAAACGCCTCATGTTTTTGCTACAACTGAGGTGTTCTTCTCCCGGTCCCGTGCAAGCGGAGGCTCCTCTCTTCTGTTCCAGATGCTACCTGGCCTGTATTCCCTGAGCGTTTCCCAGGAGCACTCCCTGCTCGGCCCCTGCTCCTACGATGGGAATAAATGTACACTGACACACCTCGGGCGCCCCCACGAGCATGGGGTGAAGCCGAGCCCCGCTGCCCCTCACGGACCCCTCAGGGCGCCCGCAAAATGGCGGCCGGAGGCGCGCGCTTCGATCCCGTCCGGCCCGGAACTACAACTCCCGGCAGCCCCCGTGCGGCGTTCCCTCTTCGGGCCTCAGCGCCCGGCAGCCCGCAGAGAAGCCTGATCAAAATTTAAAAAAAATATTAGGAGCTGTCACGTGGGAGCGCCGATGCTTGAAATGTCCCTGGAAGCGGAGGCAGCGCCGCTCCTCAGGCGCTTTGCGGCCGGTGGTTTGGCCGCCATCCGTCGTTTATCGCTATGGCGATTTCCCTTTAACGGCTTGCTTGCCGCAGACACCTCACAGAGCGGGGTCCTTGGAGGGGCGGGGACAGCTGAGCCCGCTGTCCAATCGACGGGGTCGGGAGGCCGGGCCATCCCGCGGAGCTCTCAGGCCATTGGCTGGCGGCGCGGAGCGCGTGACGCGCATCCTTCCAGCTCAGCGCGTGAGGCGGTGAAAGG